TTTTTTTTTTTTTTACTGTAGAAAAGAAATATTTTATTAGAAAGGAAAATACACTTCCAGAATTGGAAGTGGGCCTGAGCAAGAGAAGCGTGGCTCAAAAGGCCTATTCTTGTTTTTTGATACATGTTTTTTCTTCTTAAAGAAGTCCCTCCAACATTTCCTGTAATACTGGCTTGGTGATGAAAAATTCCTTTAGCTTATTTTTGTCTGGAAGGCTCTTTATCTGCTCTTCAACTCTAAATGATATCTTTGCCGGTTAAATTATTCTTGGTTGTAGATCCTGGGTCTTCATCCTGTCGAATATTTTTTGCCAAGCCCTTCTGTCCTACATAGTTTCTTTTGAGAAATTAGCTGCCAGTCTTATGGGTGTTCCCTTATAAGTAACTATCTGTTTTTCTCTTGCTGCTTTTAATATTCTTTCTTTGTATTTAACCTTGGGCATTTTAATTATGATGTGTCTTGGTGTGGACCTCTTTGGATCCCTGATTTTTGGAATTCTTTGAGCTTCCTGAGGTTTTATGTCCATGTCCAACACCAGGTTAGGGAAGTTTTCCATCATTATTTCTTCAAACAGCTGTTCAGCATCTTTTTTTTCCTTCAGGTATGCCGATCACATGGATATTTGGACCCCTAATAGTGTCCCATATTCTCCTTAACTTATTTTTATAGTCTTGGCATCTTATCTCTTGCTGTTCTGATTGTGTGTCCTTGGCTTTCCCATCCTCTAGATTGGGCATGTGATCCTTTTCTTTATTCACTTTTTTTATTCCTTTATTTATTCCACTTAATATACTTCTCATCTCAAATAATGTGTTCTTCATTTCAGACTGATTCCCTTCTATAGTTTCCATTTCCATTTTTATGTTTTTTTATTCTTTGTTGAAGTTCTCATTGAATTTATCTACACTTCCCAAAAGTTCATTGAGCGTCTTTATAACCAGTGTTTTGAACTCTGCATCTGTTATATTACTTGACTCCATTATATCTGAATCTCTGTTCTCTTCTCTCATATGGTTTCTGTTTCTTTGTCTTCCCATTTTGGCTGCCTTTCCGTGTCTGTTTCTATGTACTAAGCAAAGCTCCTCAGTCTCTCGGTCTTATTAGTGTGGATTTGTGTCATAGGTGACCAGTGAAACAGGAGTTCAGTTGCAGGACAAATTTAGCCCAAGCTTCTACTCCTCCAGGGCCACCTATTAAGATTGAGCAAGCAACCCACAGATGCTGTGCTTATAGTTGCCTCAAAAGGCCACACCAGAAACTGAGGCCAGCTGCCTCCAGCTTGAATTTAAGTGCTGCTCAGTAAGAAGCACCTGGCTCACTGAGGATATACCTGGTTGTGTCTTGGATGGGGCCATGAGTTGGAGGAGGTGGGGTTTCAGGAAATCCTCTGGGCAGAGTGACCTCTGTTATCCAGTTTGACGACGTCAGGGCTATGGCGGCGCTGTGTCTGGCGCACTGGTGGGAGGGCTCAATAGGAAACAATAGATATCGCCGGCAATTCTGTATAGAGCGAATCCCGCTTAGGCCCTCACTCCGACAATGTTTTCCTATAAGTCCCTGGTGCCCACTGCGAGCAGCCAAATAGGCACTGGTGCTCAGAGTGAGCAGGTCCGTCACAGCAAAAATCTGCTCATGGACCCGGCCCCTTTAGCAGGTGTCTGCCGCTGCCGCAGCCTCCGTGTCACTCAGCCACTCGGGACTGGGCAGCCTTGCGTCCTCACCCTGTCCTACCTTCTGCCGTTGCAGGATGATTTCTTGGATTTCTCCCTAGTTATATGGCTTGTTCATCTAGATCCCAGGTGATTTTTTCCTTGCCTCTGCTCCTTGTTTCTGTTACAACTTTGATTTGGTCGCCAGAGTGATGAACAGAGAGCCTCTATCATCTGTGCCATTTTTTTTCTCCCCCTGTTTTAGTTAATATTAAATTTACTTTTAAAAATTATTATTTATTATTATTATTTATGCCTGCAGCACCTGTCTTCCTAAGTGGTCTCCCATCCACGTACTAACCAGGCCCGACCCCGCTTAGCTTCTGAGATCACACATCGGGCTTGTTCAGGGTGGCATGGCTGTAGATCATGGGCTGTGGCTTTACTGGGGTGTGAACCCAGGATCTTCTGTGTGTAAAGCAGTATGGAACCACGTCCTGTTTTAGCTAATATTAAATGAAAAAGATGATGTTTATTTTAGTTAGTATATTTTAAAGGAATTTGTGTGTTTTTATTTAATTTGTATATTTGAATTTTTTTGTTGATACTAATCCTAATTCTCAAAAATAAATCAATGACTCATATAAGCACAAAAGTAGTTACAGAAATAGTAATGCAAATACAATGATTCAAAATAATCGTATATACATTGAGAGCAGGCCTTTGGTGTGGATATAGAATGTGAATTCACAGTATTAAATGATTTTGCAAGGATGTTTGCACAAGCAACCAAAAAAGAAAGTGCCAATAGAAAGCACTCCCTCTCCAAATCTTATTTCTCTTAAAAAACTCTAATTTAATTAAGAATTTGTCTGAAATTTGGATTTTGAGTTCGAGATCTAGCTTCATTGTTCATCTGGTGATAATTTACCTGAATTCTGCGAGGAAATAGAACAAGATGCGGCTATTAACTATAAAAAGTAATAATCAACATTATCGTGGCCCTTAGAGTGTTTCTCCAAATGGTTGCCTGTGCTCTCTCTATAAACTACCACTCACCTACAAACTACAGTTTCGGATGGCTACTGCCAAACGTGTTTTGAAGCAGATGCTTATGATTTCTTATTCTCTAGAATTCCCCCCAAAATGATTGGTTTGAGAAACTCTGATTTTAACCACACCACCTAAGAGAATGAATATAACTTCCTAGTTTATATCCGAAAAATCCAAGGTGTTGTAAATGCCTCTTCAGTGCCTTGATTCAGATCTCGGCCTGCAAACAGAGCACTTAACTAAACCTCTCTGGAAAGGGCGATTTTGGCAGAAGCTTTTTTCCGTTAGCTGTGCTCACTTCTTTCCACACACTTCCTCTTCCAGTGCGGTGATCATTGTTTGCTGTTCTTCTTTGGTCTATTTCCAAGAATCTACATCTTTCTTTGAATGTTTGTAATTGTTCCCAGCAGACATCTTCTATCTTTTTTTTTTTTTTCCAGATGACCCCCAGATATACTATTTTACAAACATTTCTAGGAAAATAATGGTTCCTCTTGTCCGAGGCACATTTATTTTCTTTTCTGCACTCTGCACTTGTGATTCCTGACCTGGATACTGCTTTTTATTGCTTACAGGGACGGGCAGAGGTACAGCTAAATTATAGGTAAGCAGGCTGCTGTCATAAGTCTTGACTTGACTGGAAGTGTAGAAGTCCCTGTGATTCCTGATACCCTGGCCCACTATTTTATTCCATCACAGGTGCTTAGTACATAGCCCAGGACAGAAGGATTTTATACCAGACTCCACTATTGAAAGACTAGTGCTCAGGACTAGCTTTTCTTATTTGTTCCTCTCCTACATGGTTCAAAGTCATCTTCTCATTCCAGTCAAATTCTCAACCATACCTCCTTAGTGTGATAGAATTTCTGTTCCTGTTCTTCATATACCCCTCTAATGCCTCTGGGTGGAATGGAGAAGAAATGCGGTGGCAGCACTTTTTCTGTTTCTGAACATAAGAAAGTCCTTTGCTATAAGGACTTTCTGCTCATCTCTCTTGGTACTCCAAGAACCTCCAAACTTGTTTTAACCATGTTACTTCATATACTGGTTATCCATGGTATAGAAAATGGGATAAAACTGAGAGGAGTTTGCCCTGATTCTGAAGAATTGTAGGGTATAACAGTTTGCAATGCCTTCAGTGTGGAAGTCTTAAATAGTTTGGATGGGATGGATAACCCCCTGAAATGTAAGAAATCAGGTTTAGAGGATGAGTCTTGACATGAAGGATGCTAACAACTATTGATACTATGACATGAAGTTTGATGTCAACAAGTTGAGGGAATTATTCAGAACTAGTACCCTCAACTCTGCTTACTCAGGCGCATGGATCTTAAAGCTCAGATCCAGATCCAGAATCTTGTTTTATAAGCTCCATATATATTCCAGTCTAATCTTAACATACTTAAATTCCAGTCTTTTCATTGGCTTGGCTCACTCTATTTTTAACCTACAGAGGCCAACTTTGAGGGTGTGTACAAGTTTCTATACAACAAATCTGTTACAAGTTATTAGTTTTGGATTTACAGGATGTTTTAATTAATGCCAGTGTAAAATCAGATCATTTAGTAGTAGTGGTGGTTGGGCTGGTAGCCTGATAATAGCTCATAGGACAGCTAGATACTGTCAAACACACTTTCCAAGTTCTCCGTTTTCCTGAAGTAAGAAGTCTCTAGATCTAAATTGTATCGGATTCTCAGAGTCTGTGTTGCCATATTCTATCCTGATTCTTGAGCCCTCAGCCATGAGCCACCATATCTAGGGACTCTTCCTGGGCTTTGTACCATATCTGGGTTGACTGGACAAGTGCCAGTTCTGATCCTGGGACCATAGCATGTGATGACATATGCTCAGACTCTTTTTACGTATTCTGTATGTCTTTAGGGGAAAGGGGAGTTAGCTGTGGACTTTTATTGTGTGCTCTGATTGCCTCACTCATATTATCCCTGAGGCCCCCTTTGTTCCTGAAGTAGGCTGGGGACATGCCACTTCCTAGAACCAACCCTGTGAGAAACAAAGGTATAAGCAAAGCCAAATGAGAAAGAAGATCATGCTTGGAACTCTCTCTGGACAAAAAAACAAACAATACCTGGTATGGACTAGAGATTAGGAGGGGGAAGGAAAAGTGTGAAATTACGGAAGTAAGTTGGCAGGCTCACGGTTTCTGTGTGGCACAACCAATTTCTCTTCATCCTCTTCCTGGATGTAGGGCATGATGCCAGGGCCCCTGAGGCTTTCTCCATGAATAAAAGGAGGTGAAGCTGAGTGGTGCCCCATTTCAGATTCTTGGGGACAGCCAAAATGATGTCTTTCCTCTCTCTGCTTCTGGTGGGCATTCTGTTCCCCGCCACCCAGGCCAAGCAATTTACCAAATGTGAGCTGTCCCAGGTGCTGAAAGATATGGATGGCTATGGAGGCATCACCTTACCGGAATGTGAGTTTTCTGCTGCCTTGCTTTGTCCCATTTTTCATCTGCTCCTTTCTTTTACCTTCCTTTTCCTTCCCTTTTTGTTTTCGCTTTCATTCAATTATCTAATAATACTCTTTTATCTTCTCTGCTTATCTCTTTACTCTTTTAAAACATTTATTCTCTTACCTTTTCCATCTTCCATTGTCTAATCCTTTTTGGAACTTTTATTTTATTTTTTTTTTACATCGAATCAAGATACTCTGCTTTGCTATAGTTGGAGATTTTCTGGAGAACTTTATTCTCTCTGGGAATACATGTTCTTATTTATGCTGTGCCTGGATATCTCTATGATAACTTTCTCATTTTTTCCCTCAGGGATCTGTACCATATTTCATAGCAGTGGTTATGACACAGAAACCATAATCAACAACAATGGAAAGAGAGAGTATGGACTCTTCCAGATCAATAACAAACTTTGGTGTAGGGACAATCGGAAACTTCAGTCAAGAAACATCTGTGACATCTCCTGTGATAGTGAGTAGCCTCTTTTACCTTGCTTCTCTGTTTTTATGGAGTCTACCCCTGGGATAATCTCCTTTTTGATGTCCAGAACATCTCTGGATTCACTGCCTTTGACTCCACATCAACTGTAGGACTTGAATTGACAATACTGAGTAAGAGGCAGTTAGAATTTTTCAGGATCACAAAATTCCCAGATTATCTTCTGAAATTCATGGGTTGGTGATCTGAGCTGTCTGAGAATCTTGAAGTGTAATATCCTGCATTTTCAGAGTAAGTTAATGAAATTGATAATTCCTCCATAGATGCTTCTCACCTAGGAGGAGGCATTACTGAATTGGCTTTCTCATATAGAAAGGCAACAGACATAAGTCTTCATTTCAGAGAAAGACCAGACTTACTAGATCCAGGGAAGAAGGAAACTCATTACCTTTCTGGATAATACTTAGCACACTCATTTTGTTCCCTGTAATTCCTGCCAGAGTTCTTGGATGATGACCTTACTGATGACGTGATATGTGCCAAGAAGATCTTGGATAGTGAAGGAATCGACTATTGGTGAATCCCCATTCTATTTTCTACTTTCTCCTTCCCTTCTTTCTTCTCATCCCTTTAGCTTCAGCAAGACTCTCCTTTCTCCCTGTCTTATGGTAATTTAATCTAGAATATAGTCTCTGAAACAACACTCATAGAGCAGACTCAGGTTTCCAATTTTAAAACCCCCTCACTCCACCCCTGTTTGGCAATTTCCTAATAAGAGTTCCCTAATAGAGGGCTGAGGCCCAGCCTCCTTTCACCTGGACTCAGACATCTAATTCTACTTGTTTAGTCCTAGACCCTAAAGCATCCTTTGGTATTACTGTATACTTTTCTAGCCCTACAATTTTCTTGGAGCTTTAAAAATAGACCCTACCCCATTAGGTGGCCCAGTGTCCCTTTCCATCTGGCTAGAAGGCTTTCTGTAATTTTCCCATATTCTTCCACTTCGGTACTCTTGGGGATAAAGCTAGATGGAAGTTTGAGCTAAGATCCAGTCAACCAACTTGCTCCGTCTCCTTTCCATTATCAGGTTGGCCCATAAACCACTCTGCTCTGAGAAGCTGGAACAGTGGCGCTGTGAGAAGTTGTAAACGCCTGTTGTCCTTGCTGCTTCTGCCCTCTTTATGTCCCTGGAACTCTTCTTCCCCTACCTCGGTTCACATCTTTCTACTTCCCTGAAGCTAATTTGTCTCTGAGACCTGGGCCCTGTAGTGACACCACTGGACAGTTTGAGGACTATTCTCCAAGGGTGTGTGACTGGTGCACTGGACTTTTGACTCTCACTCAGGTGCCCTGATGGCACTTTCACTACAACAATGGTTTCCACCTCTATCCTAAATAAAGGGCCTGATTTTGAGTGACTGGCTGTATTTTCTTCCTGAGGGGAGAGGGAGGAAATAGGGTAAGTGGGTGGACACTAAAGCCATAGTTCATGGTTTCCTTTTATCTCTACTACAGAGGAAATAAGCTGGACTTAGAAAAATGGAGGTTCTTTTCTGTACCAATTCAATTTAACAAACTTTTATGAATCACCTAGCATATTCAAGGTACTATAGAGGTGATTCAAAGTTTGGCTAAAAGTGTTAGCAAAGGACTAGCAAGAGAGATGAGATAAACAATAAATAATTATAATACAAGGGATAGTGTCATAAGCATCATGAGAGAGGTTAGAAATGTGCCCTGAGCACTCATAAGAGGAAAGAGAATTCATATTTGGGGGTATGTGTGGGGAAAAAAGGGATCAAGGAAGAATTCATGAAAGGAGTGGCATTTAAATTGGTTTTGAAGTAAGGGTGGGATTTTGACAGGTGGAGATGTGGGATGGGAAAAGGACAGCAAAGGCAGAGGGCTCCGAGAATCTGAAATGGGTGACTTGAGGGGGCTGAGCGATTTCTCTACCTTTGAGACAAGGAAATATCCTTCACAAAGAGCTGTGAGAGGAACTGTCTCTGGTAACCAGAGGTAAGAAAAAAAGACACGGTCACTTCAGCAGTGGAAGAATCTGAACACCTGGGGCCCTTTGCTTTGTACCCTGCACTTTATTACTCCTCCTTGCTGCTTTGCTTGGTTTTAAGGAGGATTTTCACAGAACTTTATGCATTCTAATGATTATGAGAAATATGAAAGAAGGAAAATCAGGAGATTTGAGTCCTAACGTCTGTTTCTGCTACTTGTTGATGGTTCAAACCTAGGCCAGTCATCTTTGTCTTCTATACTTCAATTTCTTCATCTTAAAATGAGAGTTTTGATCTAGGTGGTTTTTCTGAGATCTCTTCTTCCTTTGACAATCCAACATTCCAAGACTCCAATTTAATTTACCACATTTCTGAATTGCTGAGTTATCTTCTAATTTCTGTCTTCTTCTTCCTGCTTTCCTAAGATGTCTAATATAGCTAATTACACTTCTCTCACCCCCTAAACCCGTTGGGGCTTTACGCAATCGGTCCTTACTTCTCTTGTTTCAGAGACTAGCAGCTCCCAGATGAGGCTCCCATGGCCTGTCTAGGGACCTAGAAGACCAAGCAAAGGATGGAGAGGCGAGCCTTCCTCTATATTTAATGAAAACAAACTCTCAGGAAATAACTTGATATTCATCATATATTTTAGTGTGAATTTAAACACAATGTGATGTGTCTCTCCAGAATATTGAATGTCATTCTCTTCCTAATTATGGGACACAAGGTTTTTCCTCAAGTCTGCAGTGTTTTAGGAGTTACCCCTGTGTATGAGCGGATGGGAGAGGGAAGGGTTGGATGGCCATTCCTCTCACTGAGCTCACACATCTTTTATTATCTTGCCACAGTTATACCCTCAGGGAGTCATATGCTCTGGAAAATATAAGGGGCCAGCTCCATCATGTGGCCAGAGCAGGAATAGTTTTTTTTCAGCCCCATAGCCCCAGCCTTCATCTTACAGAGAAGATCAAGGAATTTCACCTGTAGGTATATCATATATGAGGCTAGCTGTAATCTTCACAGGCTGAAGATTGCTGAAAGAAACTGACAATAAATTTACTTGCAGAGAGGATCTTAATATGAGGGTCAGAGGATCAAGGACAGAGATAAGTCAAGGAGCTAGCTGGGAGGTAATCTTGACTAATGCAGAGCTCTTGGCCTTTGGGTAGAAAGAGGACTTGGAACAGCTATTGTTTTCTTCCTGAGAACTTTTTTTGGGAGCTGAATGGGAAGTGGGATGACAGCTGAGCATTCATTCTCCTCATTCCTCTAGGCCTGGAACGTCTTGAACCAGGCAGAGAACTGAAGTGGTCTAGGCTAAGGTGGGTGGTGGAGAGGCTCAGGGAAGAGGCTGCTAGATTTCACACCATTCACAGAGCTCTGTGTGAGGAGGACTCAGGACAAAGCCCCCAAATATGGATTCTCTTTCTCACTTTCTATCCCAATTTTTCCTCCCTGCTGTTTTTCCCTGACATCTATATTGTTGTCAATTAAAGAATTTTACTGGATAAAATTAAATGTTCTTTTTCATATGTTCCTTCTCTCACTCCCCCTTCTCTCTCATTCATCCCCCCTGCCCTCCACACACTTATCTAAAACTAATTGAAAACCTATTAGGTGACAGGACTATTCTAGACACTGGGGATACAGCAGCTGTTAGACAGAGGCTTTGCTCCCAAGACTTATACTTTAGAGGAGGATATTCACCTCTTCCCATTTTCTAGGATCATCAAAGAGAAAGGACTCTTCAGATGCATCCATTATTCATTCTTTACTTTGTCAACAAATAGTTATTGAGGATTTGTTATTTTGCAAAGCTTTACTTTAAATGTTACTTGCTAAGAATAAAGACAACAGGAAACACTATTTTATTTTATTTCTTTCTAAGTTATGGAGTTATAGTTCTTGCCAGAAATTTTTTGGGATGAGAACATAGGAGAAGTTGGGTCTTATAGTACCAAGATGGGACTCTCCAAGAATGCAGTGAGATATTTTCTAGTGGTTGAATAGGTTGATTTACACTTTGTGCATAGGCAAAAATAAAAGAGAGAGGGAGAGACAGAAAGGGGAAAGGTAGAAAAGACAGGAAATGAGAGGAAAAAGCAATAGCTGTAGAAATGGCTGGTGAATCTGTGAGGATTTTCTTGTGTGGTGACTGGGCCCACTGTGGATCGGTGTTATCTGGTCTGTGAAAGTTTCCCTGTATTGATTGACTAGGCAGGGGGGCACTGGGGTCAGAAGAACTAAGGCTTTTTTTTTAGGAAAGAAT